AACCTAGAAGATACAATAAAAAATGTTCTACCTTAAAACATAATAAACTATGATAAAACTAATATTTCTGATGACCCAAAATCAAAACAAATCATATTCCGGAAAGGTACTAAACATGCTGAAAGAGTTATAAATACATCAAAGTTATCAGAATCTATAATGTTTGCATGTACTGCTGATAGTGTTTTTCTTTCTCCATATACAGTGTATAAAGGTGAGCGTCTGATGGACACTTGGATACTTGGAGGTCCAACTGGTACACGCACAAAATCTGGTTGGCTTGATGGCTAATGTTTTAAAGATTGGCTGCTAACATTAGTATTACCTTACTTCAGGCATGTTGATAACAACACTCCAAAACTTTTTATTAGTGATAATTTAGCATGCTATTTTTCTATTGATGTTATCAAAATTTGTAAAGCAAACAACATTAGGATGGTCTTCTTACCTGCTAATAGTACACATATACTACAGCCTCTTGACCTTGCAGTTTATGGACCCATGAAATCAGCATGGAGAAAAGTAATTACTGAATGAAAAATTGGTGAAGGAAGATTTCATACATCCCTACCAAAAAATATTTTCCGAAGATTGCTCTTTCATCTCTTGACTAATATGAATCACATACAAGAGTTCGCTGTATATGGGTTTAAAACATCTAGTATCTACGCACTAAACAGAAAAAAAGTTATGACAAGATTTTAAGGACAGACATACCTAAATCTTCTCAAAACTTAGTATCTCCATTAGTTCTTGAACGTCTTGCAGAACTTTAAGAAGCTTCTGCTAAGAAGCCTGGGGCATTAATGCGTGGGAAAAAAGATAAGGTTTTACCAGGAAAAAGCGTTTCGATGGAAGATGTTGCAACAGATTCTTCTACTTCTAAATCCCAATCAAAGCACAAGCTAATCAAAATAAAAAATACCCAACTTAATGAATCGTTAATTGTAGAAAAAAATTCTAAATTAAATTGGAATACTTTTAAAGAAATTATTGAATATTATATGCCTTCAAGCTCCAAGATGTATATTGAGCTACAAGAAACTTCTTATAAAAACTCTGATTGTATACAGAAAATAAAAAGTAAAACCTTGAAAAAAAAGGTAAAACCTTGAAAAAAACTTTTTTCAATGAAAAATTTTTTTCATTGAAAAAAGTGATTCATGCAATGATGATCATGACCTTGAAGATTCACTTTTCCATCAAAAACAAGCACACGTTCAAAATAAGTTTAATATCTACTTAAATAAAAGCATTTATAAATTAGATTCTATTTTCTGTATAGAAATATGTGATCCTGAAGTAGTTGCAACCTCTGAATATTTATCAGCAGAGGGCTCTTATGTTGTTGTACGGTTTGAAGGAAAAAAGACACCATATCATTTTGTAGGCCAAGTTGTAAATATAGAAAAAAATAACAAATAGAATATCAAGTACTTTAGACAAGATTTGGATGTTTCAAACCCAAGAATTATCTCCTTCAAAGAATCACAAGTTCCTGATTACTTTGTAACAGAAAAAATATCAATTATGAAACAACTTCCTTGTCCCCTATATGAAAAAAAAAAACATGTCTTTTTTGAAAGAAACTATTGGTGACTTATATATGCGTTAATATTATATTTTTGTGTTTTTCATATATTTATGTTTTTTTTTATATACTGTTATCTTTGTTCATATATATATATATATATATATATATATATATATATATATATATATATATATATATATATATATATATATATATATTATATATATATATATACATATAAATATATATATATATATATATATATATATATATATATATATATATATATGTATATATATATATATATATATATGTATATATATATATATATATATATATACATATATATATTTATATATATATATATATATATATATATATATATATATATATATATACATATATATATATATATATATATATATATATATATATATATATTCACAATGTACAACAATATAAAAAGTACAATTGTACGAAGTACGAAATATACATATATGTACAAGTACGAAATATACATATATATATATATATATATATATATATATATATATATATATATATATATATATATATATATATATATATATATATATATATATATATATATATATATATATATATATTATGTCAATTTTTATTTATTCATTTTTAAACTTTTTATTTTAGTAAAAAATTTTATTTTTTATAAATATTATTATTAGTTTTATTAAATTATTATCTATTATATTTCATATTTATATATATATATTTACAAAAACGATTATTTACATTAAAATAACTAACCCTAACCCTAACCCTAAGCCTGACCTTGCTGCCTGGCCAAGCCAAACACTCAGTCAATATAGCAGCACTCCCTTGCGAGTCAGATTATTTGTGAGTCGATGTATTTACTTTTTTTTTGCATAAAAACTATTTACAAGGACAATTTTTTTAAAAAAAAACGCTACTTACGAGGACAAAAAATTATCGGGTACACTAAAATGTCCCCGTTACTGCTAATGTCCACGTAAAACTATGACAAATATATTATCTGAAAAACAAGCTATAGAATAGTTTAGTTAAATAACTACTTTAGCAATGAAAGCCTCATTAATTTGGATGCCTAACGTTTACTTAATCTGTTTTACTGAAATGGCAGGAAAATTATGACTATTAGATTTGGGTGTCAAATCAGAGGAAAGGTTCTCTTCAAATAGTTCTGCCATATCCTTAGGAGAGGTAATAAAATCAGTAACTGAAGTAATCCTATCAATTTATTATATTAATCACAAGCATGTGCTTATCTATTACAAGTACATTTTAAAAGGTTGATATAAATGTTGATTGTAAAATTAAAGGTTATATATTTTTCTTCCTTCGATAGTTAAAAATACTTTTTTTGTTTAAAGAGTGTTTGGAGACATCGAAAGAGTTTTATAACATATTAAAAGTAATGTATGTGTTACCTATAAATTTAAAACTAACATTTAAATTTAATTTTTTACAGCTCATATTGAAATGAATTATTGTGTAAAGATTTTCAAAGAAGTTGTTTTAACAACAATGGAAAAGCTTCCAATATGCGAGATTGCATTCGATACACGATTAAAGAATTTTTAACAACTTTAACAAACTTTAATACAAGATTAAAGTTTGTTTAATTTTGTCCATGTATAATTTAATTATTTTACTTGAAATAAACTAATCAAGTTATACATAAACTTGCTTTGTCTGTATATTTTAAACATTTAAAGGTAGTTTTAAAACATTTGCAAAAAGTAAACCTCGTGGGACCCTCACGTAACACCCGGAGAGCATACCCATATAGTCCCCAGAGTAAAACCGCGGCTAAGATCCGCCAAGTTCCCGATGGGTATCCCATATAGGTAAACCATCGGGCCTCATACAATTTTAAAGTACGGGATTTAACTGAGAGCCATACAAGATACCCGACAGACTTACCCATTTTGGCCCCATATGGAAACCTAAGCCAAGATCCGGCGGGATACCGTTGGTCTTCTAGTACGGGACCCTTGTTGACGAGCAGGATGGGCTCCGTGCGGTACCCGTATGTCAATGTTGGCTGGGAAATTCCGTTTTCAAATTAAATTTATTACATTTTCACATATTAAAATACATTTTAACAAATGCCAAGAGGAACAACACTCTCTGATGAAGATAAAGGCAAGATCGAAGCCTTTTTCTTCAAAAACAGAGCAATTGCTTACAAACTGAGCCGCTCGTCGCGTTTGATTAATAGTTTTGTAAATTATTCAACAAATTATTGCACGAAGCACCGAAGTGTTAGAAAACCTATAAATACAGCTTGCACGTGCATGCCGCTAGAATGTATTATCTCCGCGAAACAAATAGGCGCTGATTTGGGATTGAAATGCTTAAGATGGTCGGTGAATTTTGTAATCAAGAAGCCAGGCTTTCTTGGATATGCAAACAAACCGGCATTTCCAGCACTAACTAAAGCGCACAAACGAATTTGTCTTCAATGGGCCAAGGACAACATGACTTGGGGGAAAAAATGGCAAAAAATTGTGTGGTCTCATGAAAAAAAGTTCAATCTTGATGGTCCAGATGTCTTTAATTACTACTGGTATGACATAAAAAGGAGAGAAAAAATTTTCAAAAGGAAGGGCAATGGAAGGCAGAGAAGTAATGATTAGGGATGCGTTCAGTTATTTTTGAAAAACTTTGATTGGTTTTATTACTATTATATTAAATGCTGAAGAATATAGAAATTTTTTGAATGATGGGATATAGAAATTTGTTGAATTTGAATGAAATTTTTTTTTAAAAATTGGTAACGACACTTTTATTTTCCAGCAATATAATGCTCCAATTCATATAGCAAAGTAAAATATCTCATGGTTTACTAGCAAGAAAACTCAATTATTAGAATGCAAACGCTCTCACCTGATTTAATTCCCATTGAAAACGTATGAGACATCTTAGCAAGACGTTTTTATGGAGAGGAAAAACAATATTCGAATGTCGATGAATTAAAAAAGGCAGTTGTTCACGTTTGGAAGAACATATTTTTTGCTACACATCTTGTTATTCAAAATGGTGGCAACAAAACAAAGTATTAATAATAAATTCAAATTGCAATACAAAACATTATGGAATTTTGTAGAGTAAAATTGAAATAAGGTTATATTTTTGCGCCATCATTTTCCTAAAATTTTAGTACCTATAGTATATCTTATGTAAACTTTTTTAAAAGTTTGCATAAGATATACTATAGGTACTAAACACTCTAAAAAAACTAACACCAAAATTACAACTAAAGTATAATCTATAGTTATAATCTAATACTTTAGAGTGTTTAGTTCCTACCGTATAAACTATGCAAACTTGTTAATTGCAATTTACACAGACACTAATGATCAAACATAGATATTTTTTCAAACTTTCGTCCAATATTTTTTAAATGCTAACCCAAGTTTTTTTTAAAAATAAAAGAAACAAATAATTTTTTTAGGCTTTTATAAAACCTAATAAAGTTTTTTTTAATAATAATAATAAAAATTGTTTGATTCATCATAAATTCTCTACGTAATGTTACAAAGTCATCTTTCTTGCTAAAACATCATCGAGAAAACGTAGATTTGGTATTTAATAAACTGCTTATAAATATAAATTAGGTTCAGGGAAAAAAATGGTAGCTAGGTTTGCCTGGCCATTCCATGAGATCATTTTTACAAATGTATTCTAATTCCCCTAGTGTATAAACGTATTTATTGCTTTCCTTAACAACGTTGTTTATCTTTTTCATATACCACCCATCTGAAAAATTATTTTGAACAGTTTCTACTTTAGTATATACATTTTTATTGTATTTTAAAAAAGCTTTTCTTGTAACTAAAAAGTTCCAGAACTTTCTCCAGATATTTCGCTGATTTATTGACGGTTTATTGCTCAAAACAATCCATAATGAAGATGGATAAACAAAATCATGCCATCTATAATAAACTTCTTTTTCTTCGCCTACTGGTTTTAATATATCATCTTGTTTGTAAGGAGGCAATCCTTGTTTTAGTTCGTAAACTAACCGGCACAGATTTGAGGTTACATCACACACAAGATAATTAGTATTCGTAAGAAAGTACAAATCTAACAATGTACTTTCTAGTATTTCTTTTGGAAAACGCTTTACCAAATAGTTTCCTAAGCCACTAGATAAATAATTGTGTGGTAATCCTGTTGTGATAAACTCTGGCGCAAGTTTATTAACAACTTTTATTGCGGGAATATCATCTGTAGCAATATAAACACGCTTGCTAGTTACATTATGTTTGCTAAAATAATCTTCTGCGATGTTTACAAAAACTGTTTCGTTAATGTACTCTGCTTCGCCGCTAGTTATCTTATCACCGTGTCGAATGTGAAAACCAATAATAGGCAAACTATAATTAATTTCTTGTTTTAGGTTATAAAAAGTTTTGTTAAACTCAGCATTTGGTCTTAAAAGGAGATAGGCAAGAAACTGTGAAGTAAACCATAGCCACGGAGATTTAATGCCAAGATATAACAAATTTTCATTCAATTCCTCTGGTATTGTGCCAGGTATGTGTCTTGGATATGGAAACTTTTTGGAAACTGTGTTAAACTCAATGATGCGATGGGTATTATTGATATCATAACCATTACTTAAATAGCAAGAAATATCTTGAGCATTGCAGGCAAGTGACTTGTCTAGGAGAATTTTGTTTTTTAGATGGCCACACTTCAAAGATTCGGGCTGCACCCATTTAAAAATGCCATTAAAGTGACTATATTCATCTTGGTGGATGAAAAATGTTCTTCCTAATCCATAGGCTACTTGCATACAAACGCCATACCGGTGCAAATTAGATCCGAGTCCGGAAAAACTTTCAACATTTCGACACAGTAAAATTTTTTTCTTTTTGCAATCACCTTTTTCTTGCAGGTTATGAATTTGATTTTTGATAAGCTTGTGGATTTCTTCCAAAGATTTGAACTTGTGTTTAAAAGTTCTTCTGTAAGAAATATTTAGATTTAGTGATCCTAAAAAACATTCAATTTCTGTCATTAAATTCCAGTAAAAAAAAAAGAGAAAAGTTGTAAATGAGATAAGCATTATGAAAACTGCTTTTTCTTTTTTAACAGCCATTCTTGTATTTGAAATCTAAAAAAAATGAAAAATCAAAAAAAGAAACAGAATTTATATAAATATAAGCAGTGCTTCTGTAGATAATATAATTATGATTACTAGCAACCCTTAATACGCGTTGTTAGTAAATAAAGTTAAAAAAAAACCCGCGTATAGAAAAGACTAGAAACTGCTTTAAAATAGAAAAAGCCTAGAAAATGACGTAACTCGACTAATAATAATAATATTAAATTTGCGTATTCATATTATCAGATTATTATAAAATATAACATGTTAATTAGGGCATTTTACTTATATGATTTATCGTGTACTATCAAGTATTATCGTACACTCTAGTATACGGTAGTACTGGATAAATGCAGTAATATTGTTCACAATGCAGTACTATCTTATACTATGCAGTACTATCGTTTACAATGTAGAACTATCGTACACTTCCCAGCGGGCATTTGTTATCAAAAAGTTACGTTCTTAATGTATTTTAAATGCCTTTTAAACGTCTTCTAATCATTTTACGTAAAGAACATAACTTTCAAAAACAAACGCCCGAAGGGTTTAGTGTACAATAGTACTGCATAAACGCCGTACTATTCTATTCTATGCAGTACAATCCTAGATTATACACCGGTTTTTAATAACGGGTCACAACTAAAATTTTGCCCAAACTTTGGGATAATGTCAATTAAGATCTGCTTTGTGTATATTTTTTAAATTTTAACAGAATATACTCAAAAGCATTCTCTATTCAAATATATTTTTAAATAGTTCGTATGATTTGTAGTTCAAAAAATATCACGCTATAATGTATGAAGATCTAAAATCCATTTTGTTTAAATACTATCAAAAAAACAATGGACTGGGGCGAAAACATATTTTTGATAAATTTATCAGCATGGGAGCTCCAAAAAGGACTTTAAATCATTGGCTTAGCATGGTGGAACAAAATAAAGTACTAACTAGGAAAAAAAGAAGCGGTTCTCCGACCACTATAGCGACTGCAAACAACATACGTAAGATGAAAAATTTCTTCAATCATCGGAAGGGCTGCTCACAGAAAAGAGTAGCTAGCAAGCTAAAAACGACTCAGCAGTACGTTTCAAAGATGCTATTGCAAAGAACAAATATCAGATGTCTAAAACGCACCGTCAAACCAAAGATGACAGCCTTACAATTCAAGTTAGCAAGGCCAAAGTGTGGACGACTTTTCCTCAAATTTTGTGATGTAGATTTTATTTTGGATGATGAATCGTACTTCACTCTTTCCAACACAACTTTGTCTGGGAATGACCGATTTTACTCAGATGATATTCAAAAGACTCCTACTGATGTGAAGAACAAAATGAAGGCAAAATACGAGTCAAAACTACTTGTTTGGGTGGCAGTTTCACCTCGAGGAATGAGTAGTGTCAAATTTTTCAAGTCTGGCCTGGCAATCAATCAATATATTTACCGTGACGAGTGTATACGAAAGAGGTTGATTCCTTTTATTAACAAATAATATAGGGATGGTAAATACGTATTCTGGCCCGATTTAGCTAGCTCCCACTATGCAAACTCAATCCACGCCGACCTCAGAGACAAAAAAGTCAATTTTGTACAAAAACAAGACAACCCAGCAAACGTCCCGAAAGTCAGGCCAATTGAAGATTTATGGGGATTTTTGAAGCAGAAAGTGTATGAGAAGGATTGGCAGGCTAAAACTATCACTCAATTCAAAGCTAGAGTCAGTCTTTGCCTTCGTAATTTTGACAAAGACCTTATACACCGCACCTTCAGCTCGGTACACAAAAGACTCGATTTTGTCAGAAAGAATGGAATCGAAAAACTTTAAAAGTCATTTTTTCTAACACTTAAAATTGTTGTTTATAAAATGCAAAAAACCGTTTTAAAAAAAATTGTAAAATGACTGAGATATCTTGTTTTAAAAGTTGGGCAAAATTTTAGTTGTGACCCGTTATAAAAAAAGAAAACCATATTGATAATATAAATATACAAAACAGGTCAAATAAAATTCATTTTTATTGAGCTATTTAAAGTTTGCAACTAAGATAAGTGATTTTCAAAAAATATATAGTTTAAATGAAATAACAGCTTTAAACTTTGATTTATTTAATTTTTGACTTTTAAGTATTTAATTTTTTTTTATATTTAATACTTTGTAGGCAGCATACTTTTTTGTTACAATTTATTTTTTTTAATGATTTATAATAATTTGTCAATAAAACCATTTACTATATATTTTAGGTAATTTTTGCAAAAGAATAATATATACTAGAGTTTTAGAAAACAAGAAAACTAGTTTCACAGCTTGCTTGAACATAATTCGTACTACGATATTTAGTATACGGATGATCCACGGATGGATCCTTGGTGAGTCTTCAACAATGGCGGACGTGTTTTTATAACGAAAAGATGAATCAATCAATTCAATCAATCAATTATACATTCTGGAAAAAATATCTAATTTCCAGGGTCATTTACAAATAGTTGTAAGAACTAATATAAAGTAAAAACCTCTTTGATGATATAAAACATATTATAGAGACTTATAGTTATAATAAGAACAAAAATTGCAATAAATTAACAACAGCACAATAATAAAAATAATTAAATGCATAATAGCAATAATAACAATAACAATAATAAATTATGATAAATTAAGTAAATCGGTATAACTTTCCGTACAGCAATCATTTTTAAATACAAAGTTAAAGTTACAAAAAGTAATAAACTGACAAAACGTAAGAACTAACGATGACATAAAAAGACTACTGCTAAAAATATAATAATTAAAATATATTGCAAATGTTATGACCAAATGAATAAATAAAATATAAACAGAAAAACACTGAGAAAATCAAAACAATACAGGTTACAACAAACATTACGAACAAAACAAAAAATTATGCAAAAAAACTATACAAACAACAACAACAAAAAAAACTTAAGATTATAAAAAATAATAATGGTGAAATAGTTCACGGTAGAATAAAACATATGCAAAAAATGGCTAAAATAAAAATTAAAACAAATAATAAATAACTGTATAAAAAACTTATATACCACTAAAAATAAATAATAACAAAAAAGCAAACAAATGACTAACCAAAAATAATAAGTAAAACTATATACGTTAAAAATTGAAGAAAAATAAATAAATAATAAAATAATTAATCCTAAGAAATATATGAAAGAAAACTAAAGAAATATATGAAAAAATAAATAAAAAATCTTGATTTGCCAAACGAGGTTTCGCTCTTTAAATATTATTTTTTCTTTATTTGCCATTCTTTTTATATATTTCATACATTAACTTTTTTTTTTAACTTCTATTTTCATTACTTCTTTAATTGTTTTCTTTCACATATTGCTTTATCTTTCCTTCTTTTAAAAGATTTATTTATATTTCCGACTTGTTCAAGTGAAGACGATTCTATCCATTACAGGACTAACAATTTATTAGACTTGTTTGCCACTTAGTCTGTAAAGCATAGTATCACACATACTGCTCTAACAGATTTATTTATAGATTAGCCATTTTAAGTCAATATTATTCCTTACCGAAAGATGCTAGAACCGTTTTAAAAACCAAGAAAATTGCTAATATAGTACGAATGCATAATATATATAACAATGATGGTGAAAATGTATATTTAGGTCTTGAAAACCAGTTAATACAATTAATGGAAAATACGCATCAAGTTATATTTTTGTTTGAACCTTTTGTTTTGTTTGAACCAGTTTAATATTGATAGAGTGCCACTGTATAAAAGTTCTGCAAAGCAATTTTTGGCCAATACAGTTTTCAGTAAGTTATGGTGGAACTACATTTAAACCATTTGTAGTTGGCTTGTTTTGTGGAAATAGTAAACCAGTATCAGCTAAAGTTTTATTATTTGAATTTGTTGAAGAGGTTAAAAAACTTAAAGATTGTGGATTTGCTGTGGCAGGTACCTTTTTTATGATAGCCATCAATGCTTTTATATGTGATGCACCTGCTCGTGCATTTGTTAAAAGTATAACAAGCAACAATGGGTACTATGGATGTAAAAATGCGTTCAGGTTGGAAAATATGTGGAAAGAAGAATCACGTTTCCGGAGTTGTATGCAGAGAGGGGAAAAGATAGCTCATTTTTTAATAAATTATAGTAAATGTTAAGGAATAATATCCCCGTTATTATTGATAACCAACTTCAATCTTCTTTCAAAATCATTGCACGTGGCTCGCAGAGTTTCCAATGACATTTTGTCCCAAATTTTGCTAATAACTTTTTTATATTTTGCTCCAAATTTGAAAACTTATAATTGCTAAGATTAGCTATAATGTAAGACCATAGAAAATGATGAAGTGGATTGCAGTTTGGTGAGCTTAGAGGCCATTTTTTTGGCTTAAAAATCGGTTGAATTTTCATTGCATCTAGCCTGAGTCATGTTGGCCGTATGAGAAGGGGTTTCATCTTGTTAGAAGCAGTAGTAATATTTTCCATCCATTTTTTGATATTTGGAAGCACGTTTTTCTTCATCACTTCTTCCGTTTTTAGTTATACTATGTGGAAAAAGTAACTATACATTGTATAGTTAATTTTTACATGTTTTTTGATGAAAATCAAGGGCAATTTACGTTTTGGACAGTTTGCGCCCAAAACCATTACAGAGACTGCGTTTTGAGATCTATGAATATGTCTTTTATCATCTGAGATGTTCTACATTGAAACAAACCAGCTATGTCATTTTGGAAGTTGTAAGAATGTTGCAAAACGAAAAGTTTTTAATCAGAAAACTTATTTTCATCACCTCCGTGCCAGACTAAATTTTTTGCTCTTTTGACTGTTTACGTTTTAATGGTTTAGAAACTCAATGAACTTTACCTTTTTTAAAAGTCTACGACTTAAATCCTTTTTTTAAATAATTTGTACTGTTTCACGGTTCATTTCAATTTTTTTGCTACTTTCCTGGCAGATCGAGTAGTATTTCGTTGAAATCGTTCTCTGATCACTTTGATGGCTGTTAGAGTA